TTGTTCGAAGCGTTGTACGCGAGATACTTGTCCCGAACCTCTCTCGACGAACACTGACCGAACTTCCAAATATTGACCCCTCTTGAATGCAAGAGGACCTACTCTGACACATTGCCTGTTCTTGACGAACTTGTATTGACATTTTGTAAGCTCTCCTTCTATTTCGTTTCCCTGGAATTCCTCTGGAATTTCCTCTCGATCCATGCTGACAATTTGAACATTAGATGTCTCGCTGCCATATCGACTAGCCTTCTCACAAGTCACAATCAGGCAGAGCCACATCGAAGGATAGAATCTTCACACGATAAACCGAAGCGAAGCCTTACCTAGCATGAGCCAGCAAGATCAGGTCACCCCACTAGGTCGGCCAGGCGGCCTACAATATTCCTTCGGAACCAGTGACGCTGGTCATTCGCTCACATGGTGCCCTCCGGCCTTCTCTGGATCCCAGAATCAGCTGAATCATGCAGACTTTCCCCTTGAAAAGCGTCAAAGACTCAATGAGGTCCAGGTCAACGTTGAAGCGCATGGAGTCGCCAGGATCCGTCTGGGCGAGGACATGACATTCGACTTCACATCAAGGCAAAGAGAAGCAAAGAAGAAGCTTTCAGATGTCGAAGCTGAGCGAGATCATCTTTTACGGCGGCTTGATGAGACTAGAAAGGACCACGAGAAGATTCTTTCGAAAGTCAAATCTGAGAGAGACGCGTCTGTACGTGGTCACCGTGAAGCCACGACGACTTACGACAGGATTACTTCTGCCCTGGGAGTTGAGGTGAATGGACTTCAGCAAGAGCTAAAAGATACCAAAAAAGATCTTGAAAATGCCAAACAGGAACTGGAGAATGCGGAGGTAGAACTCGAACGGTCGTCCAACGCTTCCTTTGACTTGAGTAACGAATTGTCTCCTTTGATGAGGACCATCAGATATCTAAGGGGCGGCCATAAGGAGCAGCTCAACACTCTCGAAAAGGATCTTGAGGACTCTGAAGACAATTGTCAGGCTGCCTCGGACTCATTGAAGATGCGCGAGAGGGAACTGAAGGCTTGTCACGACCTTAATGCTCAGACAATCAAAGGACTTCGAGAAACCAACATGAAGTGCATGAGTGAGAATGTTACTCTGTAGACCAAGGTATCACGGCTTCAGGATGCCTTGAAGAAGCAGGGACAACCCGAAGTCATCGAACTATAGCGATATTCACTCGAAATTGGAATCGAACAGAGCAATATGAAGGCCTCCAGAGGGTTTGGGCTTCTTAGACAAAATGTACTTATACTTCTGGGGGCTCGTAGTTCACAGATGGATGGACCGAGGTCAGGGTCGGGCACAGATACGCATCGTATTTTCAAATACTATAATGAGGAGAGCCTTGTCCATATCTTGGCGCGACTTCATCTTCTAAGAGACGAAGGAACTGTAGGAGAATTTCGTGGAGAAGTGGTCATCATGCTAGAAAATCTTCATCATCAAGCAAAGGCGGAGTTGGTGAGTAAACACTGTGGGGCGATGGCATGCAGCTGTGTGTGAAGCTGCTTGCACCGGCAAGGTCACGATGGAGAAATATTTTGCTGAGCATCAACCTGTATTCTAGTTTACAGCATCAGTCTCACTCTTTTACCACATCAATCATTCGAAAAACTCCTTCCCTTGAGACAAATGACACGCCTCAACTGCCTCACAGGATGACCCGACCTAGATCTTCCAAGCTACAGTGTTCCCATGGCATCTTCAAGGCAGCCTGGCATATGAGACCATGGGAAACGTTTGCGAGCTTGGCTGAAATAGCCTCAGAGAAGAGTCAATACTTCTCAGAGGCCGCCCATCGATCATGCGCGAGTCGAACGCACGGCAAGGTCTCTTGGACCCAACCGAGCCTTGAGACCAAGTCCCCCCCCCCCCGCCTCCCCCCAACTTGGTGTCTCGCCGGCATTCAAGATTATGTGACAGAATGCCTCAATGTAACAGACCTAATAGCCATCAGGATAATCAAATGGGAAAAGATGAAAAGGGGATACGCTTTGCCGATACAATGGGGCAGATCACCCTCTCTCCATTACCCTACTAAAGGACTCGCCTCTACCGCGGGGGTTGCGAAGTGTTTGACTCCAAAGGGCGAGCGCTCTCAAACCTGGGGACCGCAGTGATTCAACTGGTGAGCGGATGGGCCAAAGCAAAGCCCGTTCTTAGAGCGGATTTGGGATTGAAACAACCTAAGCTAAAGGCCAACGTTCTGCATTCGACTGTTGAAGACGGGGGAATATCTTTTACCCAGGTTGCGTAGAGACGTGATGCTGCAATATGCGAACCAACTTTAGCCGATATAATTCAAACAAAGAGTTAGTGCACATGGCAATAGAACCCATTGAACAATCACTCGAAACATGCCAGGGAACGGAATGGGTATTAGAATTTGTCATGATTGCAAACGGCCATTCCTATCGCGGCCCTCATGAAAATCTTCCTATAGTACAAGCAAAACTTGGCAGGGAAAACCCCCATCCCGCCAAAGCCATCCATGACCGCAATGCATGCAAAGTTCCGTTGTCGTGGTGTGTGTGAGAGAGTTGTCTTGATATACAGTTTCCGAAGCGCAAAACGCAAAAATAAGATCTGCCCGAGGAGAAAGGGGGAAGAAGTAGGGGTTGGTTGGTGTGTGGTACAGTCGTTCAGCTTTTTTTGGTGCGCGTAGATCCGGATTTCTTTCGATAAGCTAGCCTCGGTTTTTCCTTTCCGGCTTCGCTTTTGCATTGTCTTTTCTTTGCCTTTCTTGATTCTGTGTTGTGTTCGAGAAAGTTTGGTGATTTTACAGAGCGGGCTTGGCCTCGGAGCGGTCGAGAGCGATGCCGACCTGCTCAGCCGTGCTGCCCTCCTTGCCCTCGCCAGCGGCCAAGAGCGCGTCGCCGCCCATCTCGCGCATGCGGTACTCGCGCTCCATGCCCTCGATCTGCTGGTCCTCGGCCCAGCAGGTGGCCAGGGGGACACCAATCATGAGGGCGGTGGCGCAGACGACCCAGACGGTGCGGGAGCCGTAGTACCACGTGTTCTGGACGGCGCTGACGCCAAAGTCGACCTTGTTGCTGATCCAGCCGCGGGTGGTCGGGGGCACAATGTCCTTGAGGGCGTATAGGCGCTCGGCGAAGGACTCGTCGCGGGGGTTGTAGTCGCTGTCCTCAGAGATCTCGGAGTCTTGGGTGGGTTTTGATCAGCTTGGGGGTTTCCTGTGACGTATGCGATAGGAGGGGGGAGCTTTGCGATAGTAGTAATCATCGAACGCTCATCCCCGTGCTTGATGCCTCAAAGGGTAACAAGTGATACATACCAGTGTCGGAGTAATCGGCGTCGTCGTCGATGGGGCCGGCCTGGCCGGACTGGAAGTGCTCGTCCTCGACCTCGGTAAGTTGAACCATTGTGGCTGTAGTTTAAGAGCGGCGCTCCTTTCTTTTCGGCTGTGTATCGGCTACGCGGTGCGCGTTCGCAATGATCTCGATGAGACGGTTGCGTAGGTAGCCCGGGGGCGTGTGAAGTCGAAGATTGAAGGCGACCGGGTAATCGACGTAGAATCCGAGCTTCTGGAGCTGTTGGAGGTTCGCGAGCAGTTGATGGCCGAAACGGAATGCTATTTTCCAACCAAAGATGAAGAGATGACGCTGGAGCTCGCAGGCGAATTCGTTGGCGAGGAAGTGACCGTGGTCGTCAAAAAGGGAAGAGGAGAAGTCGTTGTTGGGATGGAGTCGAACTTGGTGTTGAGCTAGGGGATGTTCAGCAACAGCTGGGCCAGAGATAGCAGTTGCTGGACCCATCATGAGAATTTTTGGTGGCTAGCGTGATTGGTCCTGGCCCGAGCGTTGGAAGCTCGGAAAAGGGTTCTGCCGAAGAATGACGTTGGCTTTTGAAGGGTGACGGAGTGCACAGACCACACAGCTGCTGCATCACCCCTTCCCTTCCATTTCTGTCTGCCATCATGGCTTTCGCCATGTGACTTCTTCAGGAACGAATACGTGCGAACGTGATAGGAGAGGAATATAGTAGCCGTCCGAGTAGATGGAATTGTTTTAAAACTCTTTTGAATCTTGGATCATCGTAAGAAGACTGGGAAGCAGGAAGGCTCATTTATGCCCCAGAAACATCCCCAGCACCCTGGCCATGAACAGTTGCGAACAGCCACGTTCGTACACGTTCAGTCATGTCTGAAGGCTTTCTTTGTACCTGAGTAAGGAGGAGGCATGATAATCATGTATGGGAATTGACCATCTAATTGCAACCTTCATGGCCGTCTGTCTGGAATGGGACGCAAGCAGGCAAGCTGATTGACGTTCCACTACATTGGAAACCCTTTCTCTTATTGGCACCCTTTTCAGGAAAGTAAAAGGTGTAAGTACACAAAGAGAGAACGAGATGATGAATCAAACTTCTTTTAAGGAACATGTGCACGCATTCCTCTTTCTCTCAAGTTGAAGAAATGGCCATGCAGGTGGGAAGCCAAAGAATCTTGAACAGGTTGAGGACTAGAGGAGTTTCTACATGCGCTGCTTGATGCTCTGAGGGACTCAATAACGGTCTTCTAGGCAGCGATGTCCGGAATTTCAAGGTATAGATACATGATGATTTCATGGAGAAGCCGCGAACCCTTCACGTCAATCTCCACAGCCTCAAAGATAATCATCTTCGCAGCTTTAGAACAATAGAGTACATCTCACTAGCGACCAATACTATACACGATTTTCAAAAGAAAGTTGAAATGCCTTGATCATAAATTCGTGATTCTATATGCCCAAATACTGATACATGGTATATCCGTCCAGAGAAATCCCCTCCTGACGCCGATAAATGTGAAAAGACATGCCATGCTAGCCCTGTAGGCCACCGGTACATGGCGGATGCTAACGAATGCTCGAACAATCCCTCCAAACGCCAAAAGAAGATGCCACCGACATCGGCAGAGTGAAGAAGGGGAGTTGATACCCCTCCGCACATCCTATGAGACTACAGTACTCCTTCAGAAATGCACACTCCTCTTCTTAGCGACCTTTCGCTTCTTCTCCTCTTCCTCAGACCGGTCCCGATGGAAGAAGTTGCTGACGCTGGCAGCCGGGTTCGCGTAAGGTCCCTGAAGCAGTCCCGACATGAGGTTCGGAAGCTTCCCACGGCCGGCCTGCTGCGACTGCGACTGCGACTGTTGCTGCTGTTGCGGCTGAGACGACGCACCACCACTCATCGTCGGCGGCGGCTGCGCAAATCGCACCTGCGGACGATACGCGCTGGTCCCCGGGGGTCCGTTATACGGTCCCGCGCTGTTGGGCCGCGGTGGCTGCGCCGGCGCCACGTGCCAAGAGCCCGGCGTGGTTCCGGGCGGCGGCTGATGGCGCGGTGGTAAATTCGGGTTCGACTGACTAGGCGGGACGCCATAGAGTCTGCGAAGTCGCTCCGTCTCGGCCTCGATCTCGGCCTCTTTGCGTCGGCGATCGGCTTCCTCCTTATCGAGCATCTTCTTGATGCGCTTCGCTTCCTCAGCGTCCCGTCGCTCGCGCTCGCGCGCCTGCCGCTCTTCCTGTGCTACCATGGCCTGTAGACGCTTGGTCTCGTTGTCAATCTCCCACTGTTGGCGAGCATTGGGCCTGGGAGGACCATTGTTCATGGATTGTGCAGGGGGCGAGGCGGGCTTGTTGCCGATGGCGCCGGACATGGCAGCCGCGGGCGGTGCCGGCGCCATGGACACCGGAGGTGGCTTGGAGTTCTTGCGCCGACCGGTCGTGGGGGGCGGCGTCGCCGTCAGGTTGAAGACGTTCTGTCTGGGGTTCAGGAACAGGTCGCGGAGAACCTCGGCGCCGAGTAGCAGGACAATGTCCAGTCCCTTGCGGTCTTCCACGTCCACACGCTGCAGGTTGGGCTCGTAGATGGTTACGGCGCTCTCATGCTTTGTGTCCTTGAACATGGCGACCGTGATATCAGGCTCTTTGCTCTTCTTGCCAGCGACGCTCTTGCCGACCATGTAGCACGTCATATCCTTGCTTAATCTGCCGTCTCGTTTCCAGCGGAACACGACCTTGGGGACGGTATCGCTAATAGGTGGATCATCAGAGGATCGATCGAGCAGGCTGGCACTCGGCGCGCGGAAGCTCTGCTCGGGCATCTCAAACTCCCAGCTGTCGGACTTGCCCCAGCTTCCGGATTTCATCTTGATGACGACCTGCGAGTCCGGGTTGTAGAGCTGCAGCGTGACCTGGTCGGGCAAGATGGGTTGTGGCGGGGCCGGGGTACCGTTTTGGACGCGGACCTCAGCGGCTGAGAGTGTCGGCTGGGTCCATTCCGGCTCGACAAGGACTTCGGCGTAGATGATCTGCTGGGAAGCGATGTCCGTGAGGGCAGCGGCGTACTTGTTACGGGCGACCGGGTTGGCGGGGTCAGCACGCTTGAGGACGTAATTTGGCACCGGGTCGGAGCCTTGGTGAGTGAAGTAGAGAATGGTGTTCTGAGGGTTATCGGAGGAGGGGCGGAAGTGGAAGGTGGGCAGGTTCTCGTCGAGCATGTTGGCGGCGGCCGATGGCTGTATTAGCGATCGACGGGCTCGCTCGAAGAAAGAAGTTCAAGTTAAATTTGTTGGGTGTTTTGGTGTTGAGGTAGAGAAGTGACGTTTCCTGCGCCGCTTGTAGGTGTTTGTTTCGGAGGAGGGGGAGGGGACACAGCGTTGATAAAAAGGGTCAGGCTGGCAAGGCAAGTGTGCTGGGCCTCAAGGGTGTGCGAGGTCAAGTGGGCTGAGTCTTGAATACGTCCGTCACCCGTCCGCCTTGGCTTTTTTTCTTATGTTGCGTGTTCTGGGATCCAAAGACAAGGGATAGGTCACTACTCCGTAGTATACCCAGTCCTATACGCAGACGTACGAATCTATCCGCGGGATCTAAGGTATGCAGTAAAGAGCCCCACTACCTTGCGTAGGGAAGCGAAAGACCCAAAAGGATTCTGTCGAAGAAGAGAGATGAAATGACAATAGAAGCTGTCGTAAGCTTGATCAGACGAGGTACAGGAAAGTCAAAATGATTGCAAGCCAAGTATGTACAAGAGCAGGGCACCCGGTTGTGGGAAAAGGTTGAGGCCTGGTTTGGCAAAAGTGACCGGTTCGTGTCGTGAAGAATAGAAGCGTGGAGTGGGAAAGAAGGTGTGGTACCGCACCGAACTTGCAGCAGGAGGGACTTGGGAGAAAGATGGAAGCCTGGCGCATGCACCCACTTAGAAGTCCCATTAGCTGAGAGCACCAACTAATACCTAGAGGCACGCATTGCATGGTGGCAGGTGCAGGTCACCGCAGCAGGAAAAGAATGTACTCCTGTACCTTTCGCAGTAGGTAGATACGTCAACAGCTGCCCCGCCAGCCCCTCGGATTGGACACAAGCCACGGGCTCAGTCCCCACATCAATCCCGCTCCGCCACACCACATTATTTCCCAGTCTCTAAACGCTCCAGGACGTTGACAAAAAACGTGCAAAGTCAGCCTGCCGATTCGTCAGCTCGCCAGGACGGGTACGTAGCGTGCGGCTGTGCAGGCGCTTTCCATTCCCACGCTCAAAGGCTTCAAGCGCATCCGAGGCCCGCAACGGTTTCTTTGCCATTGGAAACCGTGCCGTTTCCCTTCCGAAACGCGCGGCCAATGGTGGGAACCTGTCAAAAGGGTTCTCTCTTTGGGCTTCTTATTTTGGCAACTTTTTGCAGTGCAAACTTGACGGAGACGCGAGTGATTCGCCTGTTCGCTTATTTGATCGACGGGCTCTAATTCTCTCCCATTTTCCTTGCAGCTAAAGCAACGCCGGCTCTCGCTTACACGGTATAAGGTATGCCAGAGTCGGGCTGCGGCCCAAATGTGCTTCGTCAGCTTTGCTTCCCACTTGGGACTTGCTGTCTCAATTCGAGAGTGTAAGTCTGGCGAAGTGTGCCTTGGCGTCCCACAGAACTGCGATCTTTGTTGACTGTGCTCTTCTTGAGCGCATGGCGATTAAATACGTCTCAGACTTCGCACGATTGTCAACAAGGCGAGAGTGCATGTACAGCTCGAGAGAAAAAAAAACATCCGGGAGGCCTGCGTACCTGCACATGATTAGGAACGCAGCCACACACGATGGCGAAAAGGCCTCATCATCACCATGCCGGCCACCTCTTGGCTTTTTCCTTCCCCAGTAACTCACACATTCACTGCAACGCTGTGGGAAAACCCCCCAATCCACTGGAGAGATCTCTTCCCCATCGACTTACCAAGTACGCGACCGTGTTATACGCAGGGATATATCAAAGTCGCACACTTATCCTCCACCAAAAGGCTTGCGGCTAGGTTTGGCGAACGCGTTCACCCGCCTATGCAACGGGGACGGGGTGCCTGACGATCTCAAAGTCTGGCGAAAAGAGTGTCTCCGCCCCATCCAAACCCTTTCCCAGAGAATCGACCTCTTGACGTCCTCACTTCTATGGGTGCTCCTCACGTATCAATAAACAGGTCAACAATATTAACAAGTCGTATGCATTGTTTTACTTTTGGATTACATCCTACCTCCCACTACCCACCACTCACTTTACTACAACATACACCATCATCACCTTCCACATGTCTTGGCACTCCAGCCTCAACACTCCCCCAACAGCCACCCACATCTCTCCTTCAAAACATATCTGTACAATGGGGGAAAGAAAGAACACGCGCTATGTGAAAGATGTCTAACTCCGCAGAGCCACCCAAGCGCCAGGCTTGAAGAAGGAAGCATTTGCAGAAGTCGTATGGGTACATATTGTTCGGTTGTGTTTGTGTGTGTGAAAAAGTATTGTTTGTACAAAGCGATCGCCTCTCGGCTCCCGTCTCTTTCTCGCTCTCTCTCTTTGTGTCAAAGCGTGTATATGTGATATGACCTTTGGTATTACAACCCGCTCCCAGCCTCCCACTGCCCTTCCTCCCTTCCACCTCGTTCGAATCCTGTTAATCCGCGCCATGCTTGGGTATGAAAACAAAGAAAAGTTGCCTCTTGTGTGTGTTGTGTCCGGGTCACGTCTGTTGGGCGAAGCTACTACGCATTCGGCCCCAAATCAGGCCGCCGGGGTACCTCCCCGTCCGGCATCATCATGGTAAACTGGGGTTCAGGCGGCATGCCGTTTTGGCCTGTCCCGGCCGGTAGACCCGGCACGGGCGGGATGTCTTCGTCCGTCTCCGGCCTGGCTTGTGCTCTTTTGACGCGGCCGGTCTGTTGGTTGACCCAGCTGTCGACCGTCCTGAACCTCGCTGGAAGGTCCTCGCTGGCCTCTGTGTATACTGTTTCACGGTTCGTCTTGCTCATCCATGAGAAGCGACCGACGCCGTTCTGACTGGCTCTTAGTGACTGTGACACTGGGGGAGGCGGCTGGAGCACCATGCCAGGCATTCCGGGTACAATAATGTCACCATCACCGAAGCCAGAAGAGATGGACGAAAGCTCGCTGGCCCGATTGACTTGACGCCTAGCAGGGTCATAGGCATCCGAGGGCTGGCGGGCGAGCTCAGACTGGTTAAAGTACGCACCGGCGCCCACGCCTGACCTTAATGTCAGGTTGGGATCTGTCGGGCTGCCGTACTGTCCGATAATGTGAGTAAGGGACCCACTAGGCGCGTGGCTGATGTATGTCCCGGTTTGGCTGTCATACGTGCCGACTTGGCTCGTGTAAGCGCTCTGTTGATTGCTGAACGGGTTTTGTTGACTGTTGTATGTGCCTTGCCCACTGACATTGTTCATCCTCATGGGGATGGTGCCTGTAGGACTCTGGTGAATGGGGCTGCCGTGATTATCAGCTGGCGACATTGTGTAGTTGGCAGGATATGTGCCGTTGGTAACGTAGGGAGCGGGTTTGCCGTCGGGGCCATAGAACCCCGTGTCCAGGCGTAGTGTTCCTCGCTGTCCCTTCTCGTACTGAGGTGGTTCGCTTCGTCGTCCATCGAGGTTTTCCCATCCGCTAGATCCCTTGAAGAAGGGAATCTTTGAGCCAATGCCACCTGGCCTGTCGCCTTGGTAGCCAGACTCCCTTTCCCTTCTCATACGCCCCGCCCTCTTCATTGTCCTCCACACAATCCACACAAGGAATGACGCGAAAATGAATGATCCTGCATCATGTCAGTTTCTGTGAGGGTATATTCCAGTCTCTGATGCTTACCTATTGAGCCAACAGCAATGAGGGCATGCTCTGTCTCGGGGTTCATTCTTGGCGGTCTGCCATCATCCTTGCTGGAACCACCACTGGCCAAGCCTGGCAACGCTGAAATGGTCTCGGCTGGAAGTACCGCTGAGGCGAGAGTGGCTGTGATGGTAGGCGTTGAGTGCTTCTCTCCATCGATACCCTTCCTCGGGGCTGAGGGATCAACCGATGGCAAAGGGGGCAGGGCAAGGGGCCCACTGGGCGCGATGACTGCAGGCGGGACTGTAGGAGTGGGAGTAATTACTGGAGGAGGCGGTGGTGACGGAGTGAACTTGGGCTTCTTGGGCTGTTCTATATCAGTCATGTTCAACGATACTTCCTGAACTCATATAACTCACCGAATCCGGTTGCTTCATGGTTGAGATGAGGGTGACGGTTCGAGGAGGCGCCGTAACAGTCATGGTAGCTGGCGGCGCTGCTGGGGGTTCGGGTTCAGGCGGAGGTGGTGGTGGTGGGTCAGGCTCAGCCGGAGCGAGAACTGGTGGTGGTGCGGGCTCTTCAGGTGGTGGTGGCGGCGGGGTGGGAGGACGCTCTGGTGCCTCGACGGGAATCTCGGGGTGAGCGATGAAAGTCTCTTGAGGTTGTGCGTAAGTCTCCTGAGGTTGTTCGACATAGACTGGAACCTGTACAGCTGGGGGTTTCGATGTAGCAGCGGGTGTCGTTCTCACGGGGGTCGGTTGCACAGCCGGTGCGGCAACGACCGCCGGAGGAGGACGAATCGATGCGGGCGGCGGACGGAGGGTTGCCAAAGGCAACTTTCCTGATGCCACATTGTTGGACGGCTTCACAGCTTTTGGGGTGTCCGGGCTTGAAGGAGGCTGTTGTTGTTGTTGGGGAGGAGGGTTCTTGAGCTGATTTTTCCGCGCCTTATCGTCGCTGTCGCTGTCTGAGCGACGGTCTACTGCCGAATCCGCATACCTGCGTCCAGCATTGATGGCCCGTTTCCATACGCCTCCTGCGGCGTTCCTCACTTGGTTGGCGTACTCATCGTCAGACTCGGCATCGCGATCCCAAAGCAAAGGCGGTACGGCGATGTTGGCGGGTGGTGCACGTCTCTTGGAGGGCTTCTGGGCCCGTGGCACTGCGTGAGGAGCCATTCCCTCCTCTCCTGTCATCCTATCCTATCCTATCCGTTCCGGACCGATGATAGTCGCCAAGGTTTTCCTCTTGTCAATCACTTCCGACCATGGCCCTTGGTTGATACTATTCGAGATCGAGTTGTAACCGGCTGAATCGGTGTTGGAAGGATACTCGATCGGTTTGCGAAGAGCGGATGAGAGAAGGCAGAAGAATACAAACACACGAATGAATAGACGTCAGTGCCAGCAAAGGGGTCTAAAGAAAAGAATTGAAATGAAAAATAAGGCCGGCCTTGGTATGGAAGAATGGAAAAAAGTGGTGAACACCAAACAACTGGCGGAGATGTCAGGCACTAGAGGGAGAAGAGGGAGAAGGGAGGGAAGAAGAGAAGCCAGCCGAGCGAGAGGCGACAGTATGTATCAGATTGGGTCGATCATCTATCCATCATTCGCGGGGAGACCCATGCTGCATGACAGATGCACCCCCCGAGATGCTTCAGGGATAGATCCAGACACCCACGACACCCCATGCGGGCACCAGCACTGACTAGGACTGGCGCAGGAACTGGCACGCGAAAGCCGATGGGTGCGGCGCACTAGTGGGTGGTCCGTGGATCGAGCTGTCGTCGAGTATGTCAGCGGTCAGTCGCGCGGGTTTGACTTTTTTGTCATGCCAGTGCCACAGGGACAGACAAGACGACTTCAGACTCTTGTTAGGCTAGCACTACAAGGTGGTAGTAGAACGTCAGGCCGGCAGAATTGGTCATGGCCGCAGGTCTTATTGCGTACGTTGGCTGTGTATATTGGTGATGCTATCTTCTTCGTCCCTTTCTCTGAATATCCGAACGTCAAGCACAGGCGTTCTGCTTGGACTGACGTGCAGGGCCGAACACGATTGCGTCGCATCAGCAGCATCAGTGGCATCAGCAACAGGTTCCAGCCACCGCCGACTTTCCGAGTACAGACCACCTTGGACAAGTACCCGTACAGAGCAGAAGATTCGCATCGAGAGTCTGTCCAAAGACAGGTGCGGCAACCCGGCGAGGGCGAACGAGGTCGAGGAAGGTCCACCCCTCTACTACTCGTAGGCTCCCAGCGTACGGCTACGCAGAACGGAGCATGGTCTGGTCTCTTCTTCCCGTATCCATTCCCCTGGCGTCTGGTCCGTACGAATGCCCCGTACTGTACACCAGACTCAGACACAGACCTGGTGGCCAGTCCAGTATCCATTCGTGTGCCTCTATACAACGTAGACAACAGGGACCCTGGCCGGCACAGACACGCAAGGCATGGATGGTGGAAGGTGTCTGGAATGGACTGTTCGCCCATCGAGTCGATCCAGTGGGCAGAGAGAGCAGACGAGATGCGCCGAAGCTTGTTAGGTGTCAATCATTGCCAGAGCAGGCCATTGATGCTCCGGCGGTAGGAGAAGTTGGGTCGGAGGGGGTTGAAGCCTGAAGGAGACCACGGACGCTCTTCCAGGGGACGGTAGGAGAAGTCTAGAGACGAGACTTGAGATGGGGGGAGAGGGACCAGCTTCTTCATCGGTACGTCTCGTCGTCTCTGCTTCATCCTCAAGAGCTGTGGGTAATAAACTGGCCGTCGGCGAACGAGAGTCGAGAGAAGTTGGTCAAGGTGTGGGCATCAAGGGGAGAGAAGAACAGGGATGACACACACCTACAGTAGTGTCTGCAGCATGACCGTGGTGAAGATCGTAGCCGGGGTCTAGTGAACGGCATCCAAGTTGGTACTGTACGATACGGCGCATGTACTGTGAGCCTGTGAGGTGCGTGTGAGGTGTTGTAGACGTGAGACAGCTGTAGAAAGGTCAACCAGCCCGCTGTCGAAGCTGTAGTTTCGAAGAGCCGAATTGGGACGGTACTGGAATGTCGAGTCGCTACCATCCCACGGCGAGACACATGCGGGGGATCTGTTAGCGCGAGACGTATCCTCCGGTCGGGACCCGGCATTTGAGGGGTCTATTGGGACCTTTGGGGGGGCCCTTGGGGAGCAAGGGGGGGAGGACTCAAGGAGGAGGGGGACAACAGAGCGCGCTGAAGGTCTGCAAGTTCTACGAAAATCTGCGACGACACTTGCAGGGGACCATGCGTCTCAGCGTGGGAAAGAGCGGGTTTCAGGACAAGGGAGGGCCCGGTGCGGACCGGGAAAGCCTTCAGGGAGTCTTTCTCCCGAGTTCCCCCCCCCTTCTCTAGACTCTTCCCCTTCCCTTCTTCCCCGTTTTTGATCCAAGGCTGGGCAAGACTACCTACCTTGGGTATGAGCTAGGCTAGTCGAACCTTTCAGGCCTAGCCCCTCTCACTGGGTCACTCAATCAAGATGGTGGCTGGCACTGGCTCGCGGGAGAGTGCCCGACGCACTGATGTGTAACATCCAAACGGCGCTGAAGCGGGATGGATCATTTTCATTCAATGACGGATGCCAGAATTTGCTTAGCCCACCGCGCCGGCCGACGAATGACAGCCTCTAGAGCGGGGATTTCGAACCAAAGCCAACGGGCGACGGGCTTTGATTCTTCGAGCCCGGATTCCTCGCACTGCGCTGGTTGATCTATACGCCGCTGTTTTGGCGTCCTCCGGGCTCCGAGTCTAGAAGTACTGTATGACCATGCAATCTTGTATCCACATTCCACACACCAACGTCCCAGGAAAGCCCACTTACACTCGAGCTGACCAGGGCTCTCGGGGAGGATCACTGGTGAGGCCGGCCGGCGATGAGGATGTATAGGAAGAGACAGAGGCAGAGGCGGAACGGAGTACGGACAAACACCACCTTGTTGTTGTCGTTCCAGCATCATCATCATCAACACCCTTTCCTGGCCCAGGAAAGGAGTTCAGGAGCTCGAACTGAAAGTCTGAAATGGCCGTTGTTGCCGAATTTGCCGCCTTGCCGAAAGCTGGGTTCGACAGTTTGCATCATCGTCAAAAAGTCACGTTTGAAATACTTTACCTAATTCCCTCAGCCCCTTCTTGAACCTATTCCCCTTCCCTCCCCTTTCAGAGAAGAGTGACGGAAGTCTACTGACCAAGAACCCTGTCCTCTGGAAAACCCTGAGACTCGGCCGTTGAACCGCGCGATCATCATCCGGAAGTGGCGGTCACCTCGCACAAGCTTCGCCCAGGATCATCGATGAGGCTCTACCTACCTACTTCGTGCCGTTGGTTCATGCTCTGCCTACCTGACCTAGCTGCATGGAAGAAAGGGACGCGAAAATGCCCCCAATAGTTAGCTCTACTACTGCTATATCAGCTTGGGCCCCCTCCCCTTGTCGTTCCCTCGCCTGCCAGATCTGGCTAACGGAAACGCATTTCTCTGGGCAAAACGCCCAGCGAACTAGTCTCGGCTTCTTTACCAATGAAAATCTGTAAGGGGGTGGAATAAACGAAAAAGCTATTGAACAAAAGCCAACTCTTTTCCAGGAACCAAAGAGCCTCATAAAACTATCCTATTGATAATTTCCCAACCCCGCTTCAATTTGTTGCTTTCAACATTCCTCCTCTCCCCTCCCCGTGAGGCTAATTCTCTACGAGTCAATTAACTACCTGCGTAAGGTTGCCCGCTCGCCTCGTTCCGTTCGTTCGTGCTGCCCCTGGGCAACAAGAGTAAGGTAATCAACTAGCGTGCAACTCTGTTAGTGACTCGTCGCTCTTTTTCTGCCCCAATTCAATATTTGCTCCAAGCCGGGCACTTTGCTATTGGCCCCGGAGCCATGCTATAGCCTCATCTCACGGCCGCACGGCCGAACCCTCGAAACCTGAACTTCCCTTCCCCTCGTCACACACGCACACCTACACACCTACACACCATCACACACCTCTTTACATCCCGTCGTGCTGCGCCTTTTTTTGCCGTGACGAGCCGGTTCCCACCTGTCTCCAGGACCCCTCGTTGCCCCGTGTTTGGCTGCTTTTTCGCCTCAAAAGTCTTTTCATCTCAACCTTTTTTGCCTCTGTCTCTTTCTTTCGTTACTTCGTACCTTGCCAACGCGCCCAAAACCTGCAACAACCTTCGCAAGACTTGTCACAGAAAAATCCAACAGGGCAATTAAGCTCCCATCTTGGCATCTGGAAACTTGTCGACCGGGGGGGGGGGGGCGGATCTGAGCCAAAAAACCACACCTCCTCCGTCTGCCTTTTACCTCGCTGAGCCTGCTGATTGGATCTTGACGAGGAGGGAGGAAGGGTAACGAAAAGAAGCTTGATCGTGCTGGTTTCTTAGCCTTCATTAGCCGCTGGTCATTTTCGAAGATGAAGGTTCCGCTCCACGCGAGCTTCTCGGCTTGTATCAAAAGAGGCTTCTCTTCTCCTCACCCATAAACTACGTATTCCAAGAATACAAAAAGCTAGCTCGCGTGACTCTACTACAAAGAGGTTGTACGATGTTCCCGAGGCGCTTGAGCCTCATAATTCGTATACCTGAAAAAGATGGCACCACTCGCCAGAAAGGCCTACGCCGCATGCATACGAGAAGCCCAAGGCGGAGGCTTGGCAGAGATCTAATCATATTATCTAACAACCGTGCTCTGCCTCACAAGTCCAAAGCTGCGGGAAACCTTCTTCAACCAAGGCTACCAAGGCTCTCAAGGCTTCCCTCACAATAAATTGAAATTAATATACGCGGACTCTTTGCCCAGAGAATCTGTTGAAGAATCCAAACAGATTTCGTTCCTGGGTAGTGAGAAGGCATGCCATAGTTACTGGGATCAACGTTCGCTTGACAAATCCTCCGCGGCTTGGCTACCACGATGTCTCGCCTGCCAAGCTTCACGATCTTCTTACCAAGAGCTCGGGTGTGCAGCCGCCGCGCCTTGCGATGGATGCATGGATGGCACCCACCCAAGGCTCTCAGCTTGGCTTCCTTCTCTCTTCCCCTCTCCACCCTCTGTCTCTTATCACACTGGCACAATGCTAGATTGGCGAGGGAAGTGTGGCATGTATGTTGCGAGGCTACGTACTGCTCAACCTACCGGCCGTTTCGACCCTATTCGTTTGGAGGTCGATGATGATGATGATGGGGCCCATTGACCTTTCAACTTGACGAGCTAGCTTCGCTACACCATCGACGGAACGAAAGTGGACTGCAAGATATGAGTCGAGAGTCCTCGGTCGACTCAGTCGACACCTTTCGATGGTGCGAGTTTCTTGTGGTCCATCCTCAATGGGCGCCCTCTTTTTTCCCACATCTGCCGGCATAACGCAGCGGGTTCAGCTCGCTGCCGCCGCACTGGGTCCATGTCATGCGCTTGAGCGCCTATCAGATTGGATTGATGGAAGCAAGCTGAAGTGTGAGGGAGCTTTCGCGTCATGACGCTGTCCGACGGACATTGTTCGTGATCAAACGATGAGGGGGCCCGCGGTTTGCGTAAGCTCGCGAGGATGAGACGGCACGCAAGCGAACACTCGCGGTGTGAGGAATTGCATGATGTTGGAAACCGTGGGGTTTTGGCAGCCGCACCACGACTGCATCCACAGCCTTGCCGCCCGTATCAAAATCCGATCACGGTTTTTGTGTCAAACCAGGCGGCTGCTGGTGCAATGGTGGTGCTCCGTCTGCGAGGCCTCTGGATTCGAGTTCCTCTCAGTCTCGGCTCTCTGGAGGTCTTGGCCCACATTCTCCTGTGTGAGCTTCTAAGTCAGACACGAACCCTGTTTCATCTTGGCCGTCGGCTTCAGTATCCACCACAAGGCACAGTGGCCAACCCCATCCCATCCCATACCATCCCATCGGCGCCTCCTCTTTTTATCTTCCCTCTTCACCTGCTGTTGGCGGGTTGGGTTTGCGGCGTTTCAGCATCTCGGGCCCGGGCATCGAGAGGGAGAGAGAGAAGATGTGCTGTGCCGAAATGGACACCCCGTTTCGTTTCCGCGCGCGCGCAATCACAAAACTGCCGACACACTAGCTTCCTACCCGCTCGATCCTATTTCCTCCCCGTCCCCTCCCCTTCCCCTCCCCTTCCCCCAAGGCTGCGGTTCGTACAGAGTGTGCTTGGCTCAGAGGCAGCAAAGGAAACTTTTCCTAATCTGCACATGTTGCCGATGAGCCGCTTGGGGACCCTTCTTCTCCTCGGCCATCAGCTTCGAGCATGTGCTGAGAGTGCAGTCCCATCTCTGGATGATAGCTGTGGAGACGACGCTAGCTGTGTAGTGTGAGGGAACTTTCAGTCTCACAACGTGCTTTGAGGAACAACGCACGAGTGTGTCTTGGGCCATGTGCGGTATGGAGGTGCCAGGTTGGAAGGTCAGGAGAGCAGATGAGCGACAGGACGAAGTAAGGGGAGTGGTTGACAGGAGCCGAGGCGATGGTAACTAGAAGGCCGTAATTGGCCGAGGCGGTTGTGGCATCCAACTTGTTAGCAGCCACCACATGTTTTGCTGTAGGAAGGTTGATGGCGGAAATTCCCGGCAGCCTTCACGGGATGACGAGGAAGAAAGAAAAATATCGGAGAGCATACGCCCACGTGAAGATGTTCGGGGATTGATGCTTTTAAGAAAGGAGACTGGATGGGCTTCGTCGCGTGCCTCCCTGCCAGTCCCGTCCCATTCTCCAGAATTCCTAAGTCCGACGGTTTCGGCGATGGCCTCGGAGAGAAGGAGAATAGTGGAGACACCGGGCCGCACGGGCACCTTGATGGTTCCGGGGGACGGTGGGCGTTGACCTCGAGACGAGGGCCCGGACTGCCGGATTGGGGGCAAAGGGGGAGGAATTGACCGGGACGTTCGGCCGGATGGAGTGCAGATTCGGGGCTCGGGAAGTGGTCGGGTATGGGGAACAAGTTCGGGCAGAACGACTCCATGCCACATAGCAACGCTAAAAATCAGACCTAGGAACTCCTCAAGTCCGAGATAAGACGTGCTCTAGCTCGGGGCCCTTCGGAGAAACGGCATTTGGAGCTTGCGGGTACTAGTGCGATGGTCATTTTTTCGGGGGTGATGACATGGGCGTACGACTACCTTGGGTCGAGGTATCCCGAGGGATTGAGGTAAGTTTACGGAACATGATAGCTCACTCACGAGCTTTGGATTTCTCGGGTGAAAGGATGGTATGCCATTGAAAAGCATGTGCGCGAGAGGCTTCACAATATGGTACTACCGCTATAAACAAGTTGGAGATTTACATACTATGTAGTGGATGAGATCTGGCGCAGCGGAGCCTGGAGGTGGCTGGAGGCTGGTAAGGGTGGACGGGGAAGTGGAGTTTGGGGAGTCAAGCCCAGTTGGATTTTGCGAGATATTAGTGAGGGATGTGTGTAAGATAAAGGCATGATTGGGCACGATGCTTGACGGCGGGTAAAAAAGTCACGAAAAAAAAAGCGCGCGATGGGGACATTTCCTGAGTCATCCTGGTCTGGGTTGCTATCGCGACATCAGCCAGGCGCAGTTGGTAAAGGTGCGACGGACCGAAAGTGCCCAGGTGCGGAAGGAGAATTCAATGACAAAACGCCGGGATTCGGCCGGGGCGTGGCCGGGGCTTCTTCTTTGGACCAAGGCCGCCGGCGGACAAGGCGCCGCGCAAGGGTAAAAAAAAAAACAAAAAAAAAAAAAACAGCAAGGCCAACCAAGATTGGCAAGGGAATAAAATAAAATAAAAAATACAGAGACAACCAGGGGAAAAGGGCAAGAGACACCCCGAGGCCCACTTACACCCACCTCGAAATGGCCCATACTGCGTATGTTCGTGACCCCCAAAGCTGAGGTGGAATATGACGGTGGACTTGCCACTGATAGGGCAAAAACAAGCGCTCCATTGGGAGCAGACTGCGGCTGCGCGGACCACGATACGGAGTTTAGTTGAATCCCCTGTATCATGTATGCCTAGCACCAGGTAAGCATGTAAGCAGGTAAGCAGCTAACACTGCACAGCAAGCGCAGCAAGGGACCCAAGGCAGCTGGGTCCCGGGACGGCCAAGACATTTTTTGGATCCAATGTCGGCAGCAAACACATTGCTTGCTCTTGGGAGTTGGAGTCGGAGTCTCGCGGTCGGTTTACTGTATTGCCGCAAACAGCCCACCCAATCACACACTGTCTCTCCCGTCCAAGCTTCCCATTCTTCCACCTCATCTTTTGGGCTGGCGGCGCCGCGGGCGGAGCGCGCTATCTCTGACCTCACGTCCTCACCCCCGTAGCACCTGAAATTTTCTGCAAGCTGCCAAAAAATACCGCCAGGTCGGGAGGGTCCAGCCGCCAGCCTGCAAATCTCTCTTCGTTGGCTGCGTCACACTTTTGCGATTCCCACCCCCAGTTCCTCTGTCCTGTCCTGTCCTGTCCTACCAGCTTGTGCTGCCCGCGCATCCTTATCGTCTCCGAATTTCCTCCCTCCTCCGAACTCCTTCGTGACTTTTTTTTTTTTCCTTTTTCCCTCTTCCCCTCCCTTCAACCAAGTGTCGCATCCTCTTGCCTCGCCATCAAGAACCATCTTTGGTTACCGGGGACCTTCCTCTCCATCACCAATTGAAGCAATGGCTTCCTCCGTCAGAGCCATGAGCTCCATTCGCGCAGCCCAGCAGCTGCTCCCGAAAGCTCCGCGTGCTGCCAATGCCGGTCGCAGAACCCTCACAACCACCTCCAGACAATCTCTCAGAACCCTCACCGCGAGGCCGAGAGTCGCCGCCCTTCCCCAGGTCGGAACCGTTGCGCGCCAGCTTACCAGAAACTACGCCGATGTCGCTCCCAAGAAGGCTGGCAAGGTCCGCAAGACCTTCAGATGGGCCTGGCGCTTGACCTACCTCTCTGCCCTGGGTCTCTTCGGCTACATTGGATATGTTGTCTACGATGACAGGCACCCCGAGGATCAGGTAGAGCTGGACCCTACCAAGAAGACGCTGGTCATTCTCGGTGAGTTCCTCACTCGACGGCCTGCGCGCCATTCATACACCCACTGCACATATCGCGCATACTGACAACTTGTAACAGGCACTGGCTGGGGATCCGTCTCTCTCTTGAAGAAGCTTGACACGGAGAACTACAACGTCGTCGTCATCTCGCCCAGAAACTACTTCCTCTTCACCCCTCTTCTGCCTTCCTGCACCACCGGTACCATTGAGCACCGCTCCATCATGGAGCCCATCCGAACCATCCTCCGTCACAAGAAGGCCGCCGTCAAGTTCTACGAAGCCGAGGCCAGCTCCGTCGACCCCGAGAGAAAGGTTGTCAAGATCCTGGATACGTCGGAGATTAAGGGCACCACGTCCGAGACTGAGGTCGCCTACGACCTGCTGGTCGTCGGTGTCGGAGCTGAGAATGCCACCTTTGGCATTCCCGGCGTGCGCGAGAACTCGTGCTTCTTGAAGGAGATTAACGACGCCCAGGCGATTCGCAAGAAGATCATGGACTGCGTCGAGACCGCCGCCTTCAAGGATCAGTCTGCCGAGGATGTCAGCCGTCTCATGCACATGGTTGTCGTCGGTGGTGGCCCCACTGGTGTCGAGTTCGCCGGTGAGCTTCAGGACTTCTTCGAGCAGGACATCAAGCGTCTGGTCCCCGAGATTGCCGACCGCTTCAAGGTTACCCTGATCGAGGCTCTCCCCAACGTCTTGCCCTCCTTCTCCAAGCAGCTGATTGAGTACACCGAGAAGACCTTTGAGGAGGAGAAGATTGACATCTTGACCAAGACCATGGTCAAGAAGGTCACCGACACCTACGTCCAGGCCGAGGGTACCGGCCCCGACGGAAAGAAGCAGACCCTCACCATTCCCTACGGTCTTCTCGTCTGGGCTACCGGTAACGCTGTCCGCCCTATCATCCGCGACCTCATCACCAAGATCCCCGCCCAGAAGGACTCTCGCCGCGGTCTGGCCGTCAACGAGTACCTCGTTGTTCAGGGCACCCGTGACATCTGGGCCATTGGCGACTGCGCTGTCGCTGGATACGCCCCGACTGCTCAGGTCGCCGCACAGGAGGGTAACTTCCTTGCCAAACTCTTCAACAACATGGCCAGAACCGAGACCCTCGAGGAACGCGTCCAGGAGCTCAGCGCCAACCTGAACCTCAAGCCCGGCAACGCTGCCGAGGTCGCCAAGGAGATCGAGGCTCACGAGCGCCAGCTCCGCCGCATTAAAGACATCAAGCCTTTCCACTACTCTCACCAGGGCAGCTTGGCCTACATTGGCAGCGAGAAGGCTGTCGCCGATGTTGCCTGGTGGAACGGAAACATTGCCAGTGGTGGTACTATGACCTACTTCTTCTGGCGCAGTGCCTACCTTTCCATGTGCTTCAGCAGTGAGTTCTATATCCCCCTGATGTAATTTCGCCTATTGTAGTCACATGCTAACGCTCTTGACCTTTTTAGCTCGCAACCGTCTCCTCGTCGTCAATGACTGGCTCAAGTCCAAGGTCTTTGGTCGCGACATCTCAAGAGAATAAGCTTGGGTGGCTTTATTCTTGGCGTTTATGAATCATTTTCCTTGCCTTTGGCGCTGGGATAATTCTACTTCTTTGTGTTTCTGTTTCTCTTTTGTGTCCTGTAACCTTTTCTTCCGTCAGACCTCTGTTTGTTTTATTGGTGTCTTGAGCGAAACGATAGAATCGATCGGCTTTTAATGGCTGGGCGGGGAAACGATAGACTGGGTAGAAACTGGGACACCCGATTCAAGTCCCTCCTTCGAAAAGGGGGGGAATGAAAAACCAACAAACGCATACACGACTACCTACCATTACACCTGTAGGAATTTGTCCGATGCTGCTTTTCTTTGCCAATAACACCTGTACAATGTTCAAAAAACAACTACCGAGGGTCCTCGGCTTATCCTGCGCTCGAACGCGTGAGAGTTGAATAATGAGGAAATGTTACGATTAAGACACATACAACATGACATGACGGACGCATGGTTCACCTAGCTTGTGACATGTGATGTGATGTAGGCAGATGGATATCTGTACGGATACTCGTGAGATAGGGTAATGTTTTGCTGGACTAAGCGGCTGGCAGCGGGACGAGCCGAAGCTGCGCAAAAAGTTTCCGAATTGCTGGGAACGAATGCATCGCCCTGCGGGTGATCTCGGAAGACGGGGCACAAGACTCCATATCTCACCTGCATGACCGAGCTTGTTCGTGCTTCACCCTGATGGCATCTGCCGTCTACGTATGGCCTTTTTGTTAGATGGGAGATGCCGAGGCTTAATGAAATTCTGCTTCTGAACATATAGTCGTGACGTTTTGGAGGGACCTCGTTGGTTGAGGATGAGGGCTTGGGCTCGGCGTATACGAAGGTTGAGATGCGGCGACACCTGGCAAGTTTGAACATCCCTTGTTAGCTGGTGTCCACGAGGCTGCGGGACTACGTAGGTGAGCGACTTGAGATCAGATAGAAGAAGATCGGTTGGCATGTGGGATTGCGGCGGGCATGGAGAAGGGCTTGTGACGGTTGAGTTCTTTCTTCTCCTATGTCGACCCTTTCATCTGCTCATGGATGAACTGTGTTGTCATTCGTCTTTTTTACCGAGGAAGAAGACTGTTGAGCTGGAACTTCTTCATCGCAAGATCGATAGGATTGACTTCTCAGTCAGGGTTTACGTTACTGTTGTTGGAGGCCCGCTCAAAGCAACGAAAATGGCGGACGTGTAATGAAGAACGATAACGAGTGAGATGTTTCATCTATATCCCGAGTTCCCGCGGTGAAATTGTCTCGTTTGGTGTGGCCATAGACAACAGGATGCTGGATATCCTTTTCGTCGCTGAACTGATTTTGGGAATTCCATAATTCTCTGGTAACCCCCTCAAAAAGTGATAGGGAAAGTCACACAAGAAACATGCTGACCCGAACGAGGAAGAGTCAGCACGGCAAGATGACTCATTCAAGCTAAT